TAATTAAAAGAAAAAAAAATAAATCAATGTAATTGTTCTTTTTTTATGTCAAATAAAATGATTCTAACTTGTTCAAATTTATCCATAACTTTAGCTAATTCAGCTGAATTTAGGTCTTTATTAACATGCTCAAGCATCTTATTAACTTGTTTCATATTTTTAACCATAATACTTTGAGCATTTGCTTGTTGAACCTATTGAAATCAAAACAACAATAAAACTATATTTTTTTTTAATTTCTTAAAAGAAATATTTTACTTTAGCAATAACACTATCAATTCGTGAAGCCATTATCAAAAATTGATTATGTGCTGTTCGATTTTGAATTGCTGTTTCAGCATAAATACGAGCTGTTTCGATATCCCCAGATTTTTTCAATGCATCTAATGCTTTTTTTCGACTTGCGTCATATTTTTTCTCAGCTGCAGACGCTTCTCTTTCAATCATCTTTTTTGTAAATCGAAGATTAAATTCAGCATTTGTACCCATGATAACGAACAATATTTAATATTAATAGAGATTGAGCTTTAAGAATAAGTAATAATAAGCAAATAAATAAAGATATTTAATCTAATGAATTCGTTGAAAAGGAAAGGTACGGATTGGAACATATCATAGTGCTATCACACTGATAGATGGCATTAGTTCGCTTTTATATTTAATATAATATAAATTATGTTGAGTGAAGAATTTAGATCAATTATTGTTTCTTTAGGAAAAAGTATGATTTCACTTGACTTGAAGATTTCCTAATATTTGAATGCTATAGCTAAATGCATTCTCTTCTATTAATTAATATTTTTGCATTGAAATCTGTTTTGAAAATTTGACTTTCTTACGAAAAACGGCATCATTTCGGTGGAGATTTTTTGAGATAACATGTGCAAAAGTTTAATATATATCTCTCTCCATAGCAAAAGACTCATCTTTCAGGATGCCATCCTGTTCTCTCGTTTTAAATGACTCCTGATAGGAGATGTGCGAAATTAAGTTTTTTGGTTTCGGTGCAGATAGCTTCTTTTCTAGTGGTCCTATTCTTAAAAAACCATTGCAAAATTAATTGGTGTTCAATTTTAAAAAATTCTTCCATATTCCTACTTTTGATCTATTTAGTCGATAATTAATGCTCTTTTGAATTATCTCTCGTGAATTATGTTCCCATTGATGGTTTATAAGATAATTCACTTAACATAATAGGAAATTTAACTATAATTCTTAGTCCAGGTTGTGAATAAATTTTTCTTATGGATCCTGATCCCGTACATCTCTCTTACTTTTGAAATTAGCTATAAATGTTTTTATGCTGACGTATAAGCGTTTCTGAATTATATCTGAAATTAAAAAACTGCCGAATAAAACGAGACGATTTGAATCACATTTTGTTTCACTTAGATATTTATTAAAAGTTTTATTTTATTTTAGAAAGATGCTTTATTTTGTTGGAAATATTCGAATATGAAAACTCCTTGATAACTCGATACACATCGAAAAGTAAACTTGTTTGAGCGCTAATTTTTTATTATAGGTTTGTAACATCAAAAAATCTTTTATTGGTATTGTTCATAGTAAAATGCGTCATGAAACAGACAACACATGCAAAACTAACAGTCCTCTGTGTAAGCATATGTTGTAAAACGTTCGCGCTTACTCATATTTTTTATTATAATCAATGATTTACTATCTATGTTCGTTCTCATAACTCAATGATTATGTTTTTCTATTCCCATGATGTTAAATTTTTTTCATAAAGTTAATAAAACAACTGTTATCCATGAATGACTATTTGTAAATGAAAGATAGCATGCTTTGTTTAAGTACTGTACTGAGGAAATTGACATTCTAGTAAATCAAATATGTATGCTATAATCTCAGAGTAAACTTATTTACGACCAGGAGACATTTATCTTTGTTTTTATAGTATTTGTACATTTTATTCGAAATCGAATATGATTTCAATAAGTTCACTTTGTTGTTTGAATTGTAAAAGATCAAATTGATCATAGAAAATGATGAAGCACATTTAAATATTTGTATAAAAAACACTTGAACTTTGCCACTTTAAGCGATCTTCATATTTAATGTGAACAATGTATTGAAGATAACCTAAAAATTCTTTCATGTATTTTTTTATGTTCATCTTTTTGGAAAATTTCGAGTTTTAAACATTATTATGTGTTTTATGGCTATAGTATACTTCTATTGTCGAAGAGTATGATGTGTTTTCCATATATAGTCATATGAAAAAATCTCATTGATTATCATTAAAATTAGTTTCTATCAGCAACTTAATTGCTTCATAGTACATTTTTGCTGTAGCGTTATTTTGATGTAGTTAACAGAATCCAATATATATATATTAACTGCAATTAAGACCTAGACACACTGGCAATAAATCGACAAAAACTATTAACATCTTCTAGCATCCGTAATGTCCCTAATAATTAGTATTTCTTACGTTGTACTTGACAACTTTCTCCATTTAACAAACATGGTTTCTTTGTCTAATTATCATTATACAACATGTTTCTACGATCTGGCAGACATCATATTTGTCGTTTTAATAATTCAGTCACAAGGATTAGGAAAAAAAAAATTTATCGACGACATACTATATAAATTACTCATGAAAGCTCTCACAGATACAACTGTTAAACCTGACATAAACTAAAATATGATTGTTTACAAGTATAAATAACACAAGAAACAGTAAAAATATGACTGGATGAACTATTTCGTAGCTTTGCTAGGAAACGATTAGAAAATAATTACATATTGTTTGGCCTTATCAATAAAAAGATTGACGCTTAGAGAACTTAAAAAGGAAATATGAAGCGTTAACATAGTTAAGTCAAAAGCATCGTCCAAGCGAATCATGTTTGCTGTACCCCTGAATAAGCTTACATCGATCTAAAACCATTGTGATAGAAGACTAATCGAAAATGAGAGGAAAAAGCTTCGTACATGGATGATGTGAATGAAATCTCAATGAGTACAAATAACTATAAAGAGCAGAAAACGTTATCATCAAAATATTATTGAAAATTTTAATTCATAAAAGTTTTATATAACATGGAATACTAAATACAAATATTGTTAATTTTACGAAAGTGTTCTATTACAAGAGTGCATGCCACTCTACATATTATCTAAGAAGAAGATTGTTTTACATTTGTGAGTTACTGATCTTTACATAAACATCAAATTGAATCAAAACAAGAACTTAATCGGGTTTTTTTTTATCGACATGCAAACGGAAAGAATGGACTAAAGCCTTAGCAAAATGCCAGATGATATTATTTTTGTAGCATTATCTTCGCACAGTTTATCCATTCAACTTGAGTAACATCTCAAAAAAAAATTGAATAGTTCATACTATAGTGTACAAAAAAGGTCTATTTGATAATGATAAGAATAATGAAAACCGATAAATTTTCTTTTTCATCGGTCAATATATTGACGACACACGCCAATCCTATTTGTAAAATCACTTTTCTTGAGATAAAAAGTGTTAATGGATATACAACAGTATTTCTATTTTTTTTCAAGGGTTCAAATGGATAAATAAGTTTTGTTTCAAAGACTTGTATAAATTACGTAATTATCCAGCAAACATTGATTTACTTACAGTTGATAAGCTGCTGTCTTCTGATCGTTTTTTTTTTTTGAAGAACTAAATTTTCGTGCAGACCAATTATAGCTACGTCAAACAAGTATACAATTTAACAATCAGCTCAAAATTATTGAAAAAGTCCATGAAAATTTTATGATATGAAACTTTTGGAATATATTCGAAGCGTTTTCTAAAACAAGAGGTAAATTTACAACTCTCTCTGCTAGAGCATAGCGTGAGTCTCAGAACGAGATGTAGTTTTATTGAATAACATCTCTGTATCGATAAACTGATTTTCAAAGACTCAGTTGATTACGAGTAATTGATTAAACCTCTCACTATAGTGAATACTTTTTATATTGTTTTAAATTTGGTTTCTATTACATTTCACCAATCAATATCGTTTCATATTCAATGGTATTATTTCAAAGATAATAATAATTTGATATTAATCGATCATGTTATTTTGAAAATTAATTCATTTCAATCTTTCATCCAATGGTTTACGTGATCTATTTTTCTATGATTATTTAAAAGAAAAGAAATGATTAGTTATTGCGACAATCAATATATTGTAAGAACAAAAAAACAAATTTCAATAAATATATGAACCTACAAAGAATAGTGATAGCTCTTTAACTTTTTGATGGATCTTGAAAATGTCTCGATTCAGCAGCTTTTATGAGCGCTGGAATATCAATACAACCTTCATCATAAGGTTGCTACAATTTCAATAGACATTCATCTGTTATGATTTAATGTTTCCGACGTTTTGGAGTTGGAGCCCGTCATATCATCTTGTGTTCTGGCAATCGATGTTAACGATTGTTCTTTATTGTAGTAAATCAATCACAATGTGAATGTTTGATGTAGAGACTTTGACATGTCTTTTCATATGAGAATGTCGACCTTCCAATAATTAATAGTACGTTTTGTTATATGACGTTTGAAAAATGTATTGAAGTTTTGTTTTGACAATCCATTAATTGTTGCAACGACTACTCATTTCTCTTCTTCCAAAGAATCAATAGAAAGTAAATTCTCAAAAAGAAAAAGCACTAATTGGAATAATTTTACCTTTTTTTTAAATTTACGATGTGATATTACAGGAAATAATCTTTTTTGAAATACTATTGTGTTCAAGACATGTTTGTAGATAGATCTTGAAATAAGTAAAACATGTATACAAATCCTTGATTAACATATGTGACTTTGAGGAATGACTATGACAAAGAAAACTTTAAAATTACTTGATAAATATTATATATATCGAGAGAAATATTTTTGAGCGCTTTCCTTTTATTGCATCATTGTTTTTTTTTTCGAGCTAAAAACGTAACTTTGATAGTTTACATCCGTTTTTTTCTTCCCTCGATCTCGACATACCATTATGTTTACATATAATTCTACTAATAATTGTTTACCAATATGCAATTATACTGATCCATGTAGTAGAATAGTTTCTTCTAATAATTGTAATAACATCTGGACAAATAAAAAGTTAAATAATTATCGTACATCGAATTGTTATCGTCCACTACAACAACTTTACAAAACAATATATACTCCTACGTGTGGAAATAATTTCTCACATATGTGCTTTGCTTGTATTTGTTGTCCATCAGAAAGATATAAAACAACAAATATGACTTATGGTAATTTTTATTATAATACTTGGATATCAACACGGAAGCATCGACCAATTAATTATGATAGAAGTGTTTTCATACGATGCTATGATAATAATAATAATAACAAAACGAGATATCAATCATTATGTAATAATCGTACAAAAGAGTAAGAAAATTGAATAGTAAAACAGATAGTTTCTTTTTTCCTCGAATATTCTCAATTGATATTAAATAATGGATGATCAGAAAATTTCTAGACAAGGTTTTTGTTTACTTGATGTTCTCTAGAAAGTATTTTCGATGAATCAAAAGCTATGAGTTTTTTCTCGAACTTAAAAAATTTTATCTCGATCTTTCTTCGAGAATAGTGGAAGCATTTTTGAAAAGTTCAAAACATTGATTTAGACGGGTCATTTTTGTATTTTCACTATTGCGATTCGACAGTAAAACGAATGATCTTTATTTATATATTAGCTAGAATATTAGAAACTATCCTACACAATGTACTATTGAAAATTTTGTCTTTCGATAAGATACTGGAGCCCATCGGATTAGTCCATGGTCCGATGGATTCTAGTCGTCTGAGATATGTGTAGGGTAAACTAGTCACCGAATATAAACATTGAGAGTATCAAAGTAGGGTTCAACTAAGTCCGGAAATTTTAGATCTCACAGGCTTTACAGGACACTTAAATTTTCGTTTTTTTCTAAAAATTCATTTTTAATAAATCGATAACCATTTTATGTTGAAACGACCTCTTGAAGAAATGTTTCAGTGAAAGCCATAACTTAATTCAATGACATATTGTTTATAAATGTGTTCGCGCAACAAAACAACTGACTTCAACAATTTTTTGCATGTCTGAAAAAGGTCATAGAGATTAAACCAAAGCCTGTTGACTCGCAAATGAAGATAATTTTTTAGATCTTTCTAAAAGTTCGACAAAAATAGACACTAAGCTCATATTTGAAAATAACATTGTTAATCAAAACCTTCAATACTTTCAAGCGGATTAAAAATAAACAAACACATTTATCTAAAAGCTTTCCGATCATCTATTACCGTTTTTTTTAGTTGTTCTATAATTCCAAGTCAATGTGATCCTCAAGAACTTCAATGTTGGACTCAGCCAACTAGTAACATATGTTGTCCAACTGATTGTTGTAATAATTCGACTTATATGACACCAAATTGTATAGACTATTCCAATGTGAATGCATGTTGTTCTTCATGTTCTCAAACAATTATTCCATCTTATTCATGTCAAATACCATCAACAACAAATCAAATTTGTAATATTCAAGTTCAATGTGTATAACTGTGAAATAAAAAGAAAGAAAACTATTGCTTATTTTTATAAGTATAAAATTTTGTTGAACATTCCTAATATTTCTCTTCATTCAAGTATGTCAAAAAAAGATAAGACGTAACAACAATAAAGACAAAACAAAAAAGGATAATCACACTGTACACAACTTAGGGGCTACGTAGAAATCCAGTAGTATATTAAGTTTTGTTTTTTTTCTTTTTTTAATACTTGTAGATATATATATATATATATATTTATATATGAAACTGTATTTGAACACGATTATTTATGATGGTGTTTGTTTGAGATACTGATGAAATTTTGGAAACATGTTTGAACGTAATGCCAATGAATATAATTCATCTTTTTCTAGTTGTCCATCACCTATGTCAGAATTTAAATATAAAATAAACACAAAAAGATAAAAGAAAACCAACCATCTTCATCAAATATTGAAACAATTCTGTCAATCATTGCACGACGTTGTCGTTCACGTTTTAATTGTAATGGTGCTTGTTGTTCATTAGAATTTCGAACAATCATTGATGGTTGTTGTTGTTGATTAATAAAATTCGTTTGATCATAAATGTTTACAACAGCTCCATTCGAATAACTCGGAATATTTTTCAATTGTTGTTGAACTGGATTTGAAATACGTCGATAAACTTTATATGATGGTTGAAGATATCGAGAACCACCAGTTAATTGAACCATAGAAATAGGTAAAGATGATGGAGATTGTTGAATAGAGTCTTCTAGAAAAAAAAGAAAAATACAAAAATAAAATTCATATAATTTAATATTCACTTGGCATTTGTAATGATTGAAAAATAGGAAAAGCATTTGATGAAGGTGTTAATATTAAAAATATAAATAAAATTAAACGTAATCGATTTATTAATATAATTTTTAACTTTATATCTTGTTCATAATTAATATGTTCATTTGTATGTAATATTTGTCTATAATAATCATCATTATCAATACAATTATTATCTTGACATTGATCAATTTTTGTATAGTTCAATGATCGATTATTTTCATCATAAAACATTTTTTGCATCATCATTATCATCATCATATACAATGAATATTATTTACATTGACATACATATTTAAATCGATAACAAAAAACAAGCTGAAAAAAAAAACCGTGTACAAGCAATTATGCATTGTATATATCTGAAATAACACAAAAAAATATATATATTTATAATGTAATCATTAAAAATAAAGCTGAGACAAATTGAAGACAAATATATATGTTTGATAGGCAGCTGGTGTATAGACATTCTTCTCTTCTATTTCTCACGTTAATCCTCTTCTCGTCAGCAATATTTTTCTAATAAAATATGGTATCCAGTTGCATCAATCATACTGTCTTCCTTTTTTTTTAGAGAAATATTTCATAGGAGTAGTTCATAATCCTTAAATATGTCAGTATACACATGAAAGTTAAATTTATTTTTTTTTCCTTTTTTTTACCTGAACTTCTTCTTTTTCGTCTTTTTTTGTTTCTATTACATGTACAACTAGAAATGAAAATGTCACGTTCAATGAATAAATCGATCAACAAGCAAAACGATTATCTGATTTGATGATCGAATTTTTCTCTTTCTTCGCTCTTACTTTTAATGATTATTGCATCATCATCATATCAGAAAAGAATATATACGGATATATTAAAAACGTTCAACAACTAAAATTGACTTATATTCAAATGACGATAATGATTATAGACATATATCTATATTATATTAGATTTCGTATGATTATATATATATAAAGATCATAGATATACTATGAAACATAAAAAGAATAATAACAACATGAATATATCTTACCAGGGAATCAAACGATGCATAGAAGAGGAAAAGAAAAATGAACAATAGAATAATTCTTTATTGTATAGTCGAAGGTAAATGTATGTATGATAATAGATAATAACGTATACTCTCAACAAAAGAGTCAATCGTTTTTCTCGTTCTTCAGACAATATTAGAGATGATGGTGTTGAGCCGAGGTCATATCATACTACTGATAGGAACTAATGGTTGACATTGATAGGATGAAAATATATTACGCAAACGATAAAGAACAAGGCTTAGTTTATAGGAACAGCGTTTAAATGAAAGTCTTATCTAATATATTGAGTAAAAATTCAAAATGTCAAAAGATAATGAAATAGCCTATGGTAAAATACTTAATAAGATAATCTATGAAACTGATTAAAGATGTTATTTTTTTTTCGTGCATGATTAAAAGATAAGTTGTTAAAATGATATATAACTTAAAGACAAGATTTTTATAACGATTTATTAAAATTATTCCAATAAGATCTTACCTAGAGAAACAAACAGTAACAACAACTTTGATCAAATCTAAAACATTATTATTGTAACCTATGGATAAATTCTATCTGAATGAAAGCAAGTGATAGCAGCTGTCACCTTTTTGCCTCGTTTGTCTCGCCATACCGTATCGGTTATCATCTCTCTTTCACCCTCTTTTCCTTTTTTTTCTTCATACGCCACACTGATCATCATCATCAAATATATGTGTCACTCTCGTGTAGACAAAATTACATCTGTATCAAAACGCTTTAGGTCTTCTCGCATTCAAAATGTGTATATACGTATAATAGTCCCTCCTATCATCCTTCACAATCATCAGAAGATGATACGAACGATGTAACACGCTTGATAATGACATGTCATCATAATGATGATTTGAAAAAGAAAGAAAGAAAGAAATAGATTCTATGTATCTTTACTACTTACTTTTCGATTTGATGATCTTGAAAATAAAAAAGACCTTCGATGAGTCTTTTTCTTTTTTTTATGCTTTATGAAGAATAACGAAATACACTAGTACATTGTTGATCGGTACCATTAAAACCTTGACATCAACATTTTTATAATTAATGGATAAAAAAATGTCATCATATTCGATAACAAATATGTAACAAAATATCTTTTCTACGTACCTATAGTTCTTGTTGTTGTGGTTATCATTTTATAATATCTATCAAAAAGTCAACTCAATCATGTTTTTGCTACAAATATAGATAATTAGAAAAATGATGTATCATATCTCATCAAATAATTATGAAAAGAAAAACACATGTATAATAAAGCTAGATACTTAATAACTTACATTTTCACGCAAATCTAATCTACAATCATGTATATGTTGTTGGTTGGATGAGTAATGCTCGTCTTTTTTTCCTCTTTATCTAAACTTCCTCTCTCGTTATTCTCTATCTCTCTATCGTACACTCCCTATTCGTTTTTTTTGTCTCTTTTTCACTTACCACCTTGCAAAAGCTACATTTCCTCCCTCTCTTGTACTGCTTCTGTCTTCCTACTCCTTTTTTTTGTCGTAGAATCAATGGCTGTCGATTTTGATAATGTACACATATACATATATACATATACACATGTATGTTATACAAGTACATAAATTCAAGGGTCATCGTATGTTCATTCTTGTGTAAAAATACAATTATTAAAAATGTATTCTATGCTTGTATGACAAAACTCTGACAAAAAGCAGAATATATGTTTAAGGCAAAAAAAATTGCTCCACTATTTATAAATATATCAGAGAAGTTCTGATTACATTCAGAAATGAACATAGTATGATATCTATCGGTTTTATTTCATGGCAAAATTTTTTCTATGATACTATCTATCATTCTTTTCATTTTACATACCGTATATAGTGTAAGGAAAAAAATGAGGAATGTTTAAACGCAAGTGAGAAAATTGATCGTTTTTCTCAATGCACAATGCATTTATGTATATTTACTTGATAATCGATTGTTCAAGGTTAAAAAGACGTTATCTTTTCTTTTCTTTTCTTTTGCTTCCGTTTGTATGTATTAAATATGATGAGAAAACTTGAATGATGTTCATTCAATTGACATGAATAGCAGATAGACACTTAAAAGTAACAAAATATGATCTTAATTGTTCAATGCACTGCGCATATATCATTATCATCATCTAGCATATTTCAAGTATGAATTAGACATGCTCATGAAATGCCAATGTTTTGTATATAATACTTAAGAAAGAAAAGAGCTCAAACTATTCTCTTTCTTTTTTTTGTATTCTATAAAAAAAGACTCTTGAAAAGGGCAAATGTGCATAATATTAAAAAAAAAAAAAGAAAACCAATGTAAAATATTAAGTTTAGAAAATCTTCTATCGACGTTTTTCTTTGCAACGAAAAGTGTTAAAATGAAATCATATATCGTTCGATATTTGACTTATATTTTATGTATGTTGAACCAGATAGGTCATTCACGAAAATGTGAAGTGATGATAGTTGTGTCAGCAATACCATTAGTAATGTAAAAAAGAAGTAGGATATTCTTGTCAACACTCACACATACACCAACGTAGTGATATCACACCACCTAAAAAAAATATATCGTATCCTACCAATTGAAAGAAGTGTTATGTTAGCAATACTGTGCGTAGAACGGTGTCATTATTGTTAATCGATCAAGGTTCAGTTAATATTTAACAGAACGGCTCGTTTTGCATATAACAACAGTTGATAGTTACAAATGCGTATATTCATTAGAGTTTTGAAAAAGTAATAGAAAGCTACTACTGTGTATAATATTTGTCCGACAATTTGTAAGATAAATATAACATTCAATGAGGTGAGATTTTTATAAAATGACAATTGTTACTTTTAAAATTAAATATCCTACTCAATCATATATTGGATCAATATTTGATTCTAACTGATGTAATATAGACTTTATCTATCCTTGAATAACAGGCAATTGTCAAAAAAAAAGACTAATATACTATTCCATCATACTTACGTTAGTTCAATGGAAAATATGTATGTATCAATTAATTTTGCATTAACAAAAAAAGTAAGTTATAAAAAACAATAATGTAGTTTTTGTTTCACATGCATAACTAACGAATCGATGATGTCAATCAATTTAAGAAAATTGATTGAACTCTTTTTTTTTTGTTTCTTTCTTTTCAATGAGAAAATATAGCACTTGTGTATTTAAGTAAAGAAACCATTAGAAATCGACTGACATTGATGAACGCATATTTTGTCGGTTAATTGACCATGAACACTTCACTTCATTCATTGTGCATACATTACTGAACAATGTCTCAAGAGTTCTATCATGTTTGCGTAAAAAAGAAGAAAAAAAAGGAACATTAACCGAAGACAAGACAAACAAACATAAATGAGTATCGAAATTCATAACAAAAAAGAAAAAAAGAAACTAAAGGAATGATGACACTTATTGTCCACTAGCAGCCTGGCCACCACCAGCATCATTAGTAAAAACATTTTGAAGAAGTACAATGACAACAATTGGTAACAAATATTTCCACTAAAAGAAAAAGAAAGAAATTTTCATTTAATTTTATCATCATTAGTAATAAAAATTTAAATAATTTTCGCACTACATGAATATCAAGATTTTTATCTATCGAAGATTCATTATGAGCAGTAAATTTCTTCCTAATGTGACACTGTAAACATCCAGATGGAAAGTTAGGCAATAGACTGAAAGTATACCTTTTATAATGGCTTAAGTAGGGCAGCATAACCTGACTTGTAAGTTATTTAATGACATAAAAGTCTTTGTTCCTCTTGTTTGTATTAATCGAAAAACGCAAAGCAAATTTCATCGGAAAGCGCTATTAATAGGGATTAGGTGCCACTTTTTTTTAATACTGTGAATAAAAACCATTCGGGAAAAAACATCCTTGAAAAAATTGTATATAATCTGAAACAATGTCTTCTACTCTCGTGATTCGTTAAATAAACGTTAGAGATAATTTGCTTGTAACTCGAGAAAAGTTATTCTACGTTAATGGAAACATGTGTTCAGTACAATGAGCTTGGATCATTTTCAACGACTCCAAAGCGGATGAAACTTCTACAGGACGTCTCTTTACTCATAACATTGAATTAGTGTTGGCGCTAGGATTTTGCAATTGAGCTATAGATTTTTTAGAAAATCCTTGATTTTCTAAATAAAACTCATTTTTCTGGATATAAAAAAACAGTTTTATTGAAGACTAATTTTCCATTGGGCATCAGCATCGAAGGATGTTTTATTTATTATTATTCTTATAAAAAATTTCTTCTTAAAATATGACTTTCTGAAATTATATTGGCATTGGAGTGATGATAAAGCAGTATCGAATAGAAAATAACGCTTTTCTGATCTATGGAAAACTGCCTATCGTGTGTGTGTATGAGACACGAAAAGGTGAACTCAAAACCTAACTATAAACAATTTGAATTGTTTTATTAAAATAATCTGTTTATAAAGATGTTGATAACAACCTACGGTATTCTCTAGTCATAAAAGATATTACCTCATATACAATTCGATGAGATATCTTACTCAGTTCGATAAGATAACAAATTTTAGAGATCTGTTGAAAAGCAAATAATATATATGCGTTGTGTGTTATAGAAATCAACATATATGGTTCTACCGTTGAACACTGATTTTCTAATATATCGACAACTTGAAATTTTAGCAACCAAATTTCTATAGTTTAACTTTAGGTTAAACAACACTCAAAAATGTCTATAAAAATTGAAACACATCAATAGCATCGAATCTCGGTAACCTCAAGATTTATTCAATTTTTTCTTGGTTTTTTTTTATTGAAATCAAAACTTGAGTTTCGAAAAAAAAAACAAATGTCATATTCAGAATTAACACTAAAATCTACTTCGAACGGTATACTTAACACTCAAATCAAACTTCGATTGTAAAAGGAGCACAGGAAGAGCCTTCACGTCCAAAATTTCTAATTCAAACTCAATCGAAGTGTATTGTGATACTGTTAATGAAATTTTTTATTCGGAGCAGATGGCTGCGCCGAAGATACGAGATACTCTTTTTCGATTTTTTTGCATTTGGTAACTAGGGTATCCTACATATTCTTCATATCAATCTTCTGAGAAATGTACATGGTAGCACTCATGGAATCCGAGATCAGTCTGACGAACTCTACATGTTATGATTATGATGTTTGTGTCTTTTGTAACTCAAGTTATGATGGTCAACATCTATGAATACAAGTTCATTTTGTGGTCATGTCAAAGACATAGATCGTCTCCGCAATCAACCAATACTCTCTTCTTAACTTAAAGTTTCACTTCAATAATATCGTCTGGCAATATATTTGAAGATAATTCGATAATCTCTTTGTAACTATGGTAAAATTACACTAAGAAATATTTTCATAGAATTTTGAATGACCAGCACTTTACATTTCTATCTATAATAGGTTCTGAATTTGTTTTTATAATTTGATCTAGAAACAAAATTTCTACTAACATATTTGAGAAGAAATGGTCGATTATCATTTTCTTGTGAATTTAATTTTGCTTCTTGTTGTCGTTTAAGTTTATCCAAAAATTGTTGTACTTCAGGTCTGAAATAAAAAAAAAGTGTAAAACAGAATACATTTATTTTCTTGTATTATTCTACTAACTGTGGTCCAACTTCATTTAATTGTAAACGCATTGTAACTTTATAATTAAATTCATGTTTTTCTTCAGCTTTGTTTATATCCGAAAGATTACATGTCGAATTACCAGTTGTAACTTGTACACCAACAATATAACCATTTTCATTAATAAATAAAGTAACAGTATATTGAAATTGTGTTTGTAAAATCAAACACTAAAACAAAAGAAAAATATTTAAATGAAAAAAAAAAACAAACATAATAAAAATTATACCATTGGTATGGATGTCATAACATAATCTTGTATTGTACCACGTTTAAAATGAACTTTTAATGTATAATATTGATAATCATTATTTAAATTAATTAATCGTTCATATTGTGATGAAGAAATTGTTCGTGATGGTGATAAATCGAGATTTGATTGACGTGAAAGACGAATATTCATTTTAGAAAATGATAGAAATTTTCCATCTAAATTAATATATAAAATTTTATTTTTGATTTAATATTTATTTTCTTACCAATATTATCTTCGAAATTAAGTGATACCAAATCATCATTGGTATCAGTAAAAGCCTATAACAAAACAAAACGAAATTGTCAATATTTATTTTTAAGGTTCAAAATTAAAACAAATTGTTTTTTTTATGCATAGTTACATAGAGTTGAACGAACTGATTAAAAATATTTTTTCTTTTGATTTATTTGCTAGTACTTTTAGACTAATCTAAAATTAATCTCACACACTCAGTTTTTAATGACGAATTTAAATGTATTAGTTCTATAATCCACATGATACGGAAATTATTTTTTTTAAATATCAAAAAGAGACCATTCAAGACAATTAGAAATCTCAATTTTTTCGTTATCAAATCTTTCAAAAGAAATTAAAACATACATATTATTAGTCAGTTCTATCTAACTGCATATAAAAACAAACAAAAATAAGTTTTCTTGAATTTTAGATTTTTTTACACTTTATAATAAAAAAAGAAAACAACGTACCAAAACAAGACCTAATTGTAAAATTAGAATTAGGAAAACCATACATCTGACAACAATATTAGTCTGTTCAAACATCATTAAATGATTAGAAAACAAAATATTACACTTTCAAAGCAAGCACTTCTAGCGACTTATTCAATTTTATTCGACAGTACATCAACCAATCAATAAGATTAACAAGCACTACTATTTTGTAATCGTGAGTTGTGAAAAAGGAAGACCTTAACAAGAATGGATTTAGACAATGAGCTAGCCGGAAAAACTATTATATTAGGAAATAAGGTATGCATTCTTTTATGAAATTTTTTAATAGTTAATTAAATTCTTTTTCTAGACATATGAACTTGATAAACTCAGTCCTGAAGAACGTTTTCGAGTTCGACATGAAGCTATACATGAAAAACATAAAGGACATGAATCTATGCATATGGAAATGGTACTTGTTTTACTTATATCACTTGTTCTATGTCAATTTATAATATTATTTTGGAAAAGTTATCATTTGAGATCTTATCAAGTAAAATTTTAAAAGATAATTTTAAATATAAGTTGTTTTTTTATTTATTTATTTATTTATTTTTAGTTTTTTACAATGCTTGCTATGTGGATAATACCATTTGGTTTATCAATAAAATTTTTTTATATTCGTTTTATTATTATATGGATTTGTTTTACGATAATAATACTATATGTTACTCGACGAGCAACTAGACAACCAATCGAACCAAATACACCAAGGTAAATAAAAGAAAAATATATATATGATCTTTTTTAGAAAAGAAATAAAATTTCTCAATTATAGATTAGTTTATAAATGGTTTCTTCTTGTTTATAAACTTTCATATGGTCTTGCTATAGGTGGTTATTTTATAATAATGATGACTTTTCTTGGAATTAATAATCTTTTATTAATATCTCCACAAGTAATTGAAATAGAATTTTTATTGAAAAAAAAACAAAACAAAATTATGAATTTATTTTGTAGACAGCACTTGATTTTGGAATTTTGATTATGTTTTATGGTATTTATTATGGTGTACTTGGAAGAGATTTGGCTGAATCATGTACTGATCGAATGGCATCAAAGATTGGGGTGATTTAAATTTGAGTAAAATATTAATAATAATTATTAAAATTTATATATTTAGTATTATTCGGAAAGTGGTTTACCTAAACGAGCATTAGAATCAAATACATGTGCTGTTTGTGCTAATCCAATATTAGTACAAAACAATGATGAAGCTTTAATTGAACGAACATATAAATTACAATGTGGACATACGTTTGTATTTTTTTTTCTTTTTGATTCGAATTTATGTTTTTTTCTTTTTTTTATGATATTTAATTGAATAGTTTTCATGAATTTTGTATACGTGGTTGGTGTATTGTTGGAAAAAAACAAACATGTCCTTATTGTAAAGAAAAAGTTGATTTAAAACGATTATTTCCTAATCCATGGGAGGTATGTTTGTATAAATTTTATATTGTATATTAAATTTTTATTGTATATATATATTTGTTTTTTTTCTAGAAACCTCATGTACTCTATGGAAATTTACTTGATTGGATTCGATATCTTGTTGCTTGGCAACCATTAATTTTAATGGTTGTACAAGGTGTTAATTACATACTTGGTCTTGAATAGGAAAATAAAATAGTATCAATCAATTCTTTTTTCTATGTCGATTCAAATTTATTGAATAGACAATCTTTAGAAAACATTCAACTTTTATGTTTTGTTGTTTTTCTTTTGTATTGTCATATATAAGATATTTAAATACATATATACGTGTTGTTATTGATTTTTGCTATTGTCAAAAGTATTTCAATTCTTCCAGATGAAATATTTTTCCTTGAAAAAAAAAAAAACAAAAACAACCGAGTAATATCTTTTACAGAGATCTATTCAAGTATGAAAATTTTTTTTTTTGTCATATAAAATAAAATATTCATCAGACGACAAAATAATACATTATCAATTATCTTTAGTATTAGTTTGTAGAGAATATTTCAAAGTGTTTGAATATTTCAATATGTTTTGCATTGGATAAGATCTAACAGAAATTATGACTTTTGAAGCATTTGCTTATTTCATGCCAGTGGAAAAAGTAATCCCTATCAAGTACTCTTTTATTACGATGCCTCTCGAGAAAATTCTGTTCATGAAAGCTTATTAACAGAAATTTTCTCGATGGTGTGACATGTTTTTCTTTTAGAAGAAATGCAATGTTTCTGAAGTTGAATGCTTCTCTAAGATGTATTTGACAGTGATGTTCAGCATGCCATAAAGAATAGATGCTGTGTGAGATATTAAATTATACACTTCAGTATCATTAGTTTTCAATGAAACTTAGTACGTACAAGTATTTATGCATCAGGTAGATTATCTCCACGTTAAAAGGCAATAGATCGTTGTATTAAAGAAATATTAAAAAAATGAATCAGTCTTGTAATTTTGATAAAAATTAGATCATATAAAAATCATTGAAAATATTTGAATTTTGGAATTAAAATTTTTTTTGTCTCCTTACAAAATTATGACAAATTCTTTTAATTATACCATCATACACAACTCGTATTTCATGTCTATAGGTAGTGTTAGTTGATAATAAAATCATCTGTTGTAACTTTGTAAGGAAAAATAAATTTTAGTTTTAAAATTTAGATATGTTCCATAGCTTTCGCATTCTATAGTTTATATTAAAATTACCAAAATTATTGATTTGGTGAATATTTCTTCAACACAACGTTCAATTGTCGTGTAATATGGAGAGAATATATTTGATGGGTGGACACTTGTACATATAAAGATTTTCTTGCAAATTAATGATGCTAAAACATATAATTTAACGTTTCATAGAACATCTTTTTTTTTTCATGATATGCTGAACTTTATTGTCACACACATCATAGAGAAGTCTCTAACTTCAGAAACACAATATCTCTTTTAAAAGAAAACATATCATAGCATAGAAGCAAACTCAATGAATAAGTTTTCATGAATGAAAATTTCCTGAACGATATTGTAGCAGTAGGCAACATGGTAATCATTATTTTTTTCACTGAAATAAATAAAAAAAATTTTTTTTCAAACTTTGGAGGCATTATCTAAACACTGCCCAAACTTAAGAGCATGTTGTAGAGGGAAACATTCTCTCATCAAATTAGTTTTTGAGTCAAAGATTAATTGTTTCTTGTTATTTAGTCGTTTAATTAAACATTTTCATCGAATAAAAAGAACAGAACAATCGACTTTGATCAGATTTTGAAAAATAGATAATAAGTTTGAAAAAATTTTTTCTTATCTTATAGTCCCTATTTAAAATGTCTCATATGGACATTTCTATTTTCATTTATAATATTAAAACGAAAGTCACATTAACTATTGCATGTCTTTCAGATGACCAACTACACTGATCTTCCGTCAATGACTCTTGTTCATAACGATATAATCCAATATATATTTAACAAAGAAAAACCTGAGTAAATACTTTTATTTATATATTTTTTCAAATAAATTACTTGTATTTTTCTTTTTCATTAGTGATATGAGTCAACAACTCAGTCAAATCATCATTGATTTAATAAAACAACGTGGTTTTACTGGTGAGTAGAATCCTACTTTACTGATACAATTTTCTTCATATATTTTATTTCAATGATAGACTATGATTCACAATGTGTGACTCTTCTACAAACATGTTTAATTGATTTTTATAATGATTTACTCATACGTTTTAAACAACATTTTGAATCAATTGGTTCTTCAATTACTATACAGGTTATTAAAAAAAAAAAAATCATTTTTTGAAAACTATATATGATCTATAAATATAGGATGCTTTTCAAAGAACATTAAATGATGTTATGTCAATCAATTTACGAGAACTACATAATTATATGAAAAATAAACATTAATTTTCTGTCAACAACATTCTTTCTCAGATAAAATAAAATATTTTTGATAAAAATTTAATTTTTTTTAAAATTTATTACTAACAAATAAATAATTACATTTGTCATGTCTATTTATTTATAAACAATAATGTTTGAGATATATATATATCGGAAACGTTTTTTTTTTCTTGTCATGCTGACGGCAATAATCTGAGAGATTTCAACAGAAAGAGAATACAAGAATGAATAAATTTATTATACTTTGTTTAGATATTGTTTTAATCGTTTTATGAATAGAGATTTATCTACATAGATATATTTTTTTTTCATTTAAATACATTGAATTTCTGTTGTTACTTTTATTTGGTTAAGTTACCATGAAAGATTCCTATTTACCTCTTTAACGCATGACTCACATTTCTACACAGTCACACTGCAAAACTTTCTTTCCGTTTTCGTTGGTTATATGACGTAAACCTGATTTCACACTCGGCTTGATCGACACAGTCAAAGTATTTGATTTTTTTTTTGCATTGATTGTGTCGACTGAGTCTTCCTCTATCAAAACCTATTAAAACTCACAAGTATGATAATCAATAGGTATGAGTTCTCGTATAATCATAAATGGATGAATGATTCTTGTAACCTGTGTAACTATCATTGTAAAATTTTTTCATGTTTTTGAAATTTATGTAGAACATTAGATGTGTTATTGAAAATAAACATGTTGCGATTCTTGTTAGTAGCATATGACTTGCTTTGTTTTTGTAGTCGAACGTCGTCTTAATTGAATTAAAAATTAGTTTTGACTTTACTCTTGAATTCTCATCTGATTTAAGTTATTTTTTAATGGAACAAACTTTGCTTTCCATTGTACACTTTTACAGATAATCCAAAAGTATTTACTTGAGTTTTATTGTCTATATTCAAATTTCATCTTGTTGCTTATCTAATTACATGCTGCTTTTATCTTGAAACAACATACATGTAGATTCTGTTATTTAATATCTATGCTCGATTTTCTATCCGATCTAAATACAAGATTTCGATATTTTCAAGGGTTGTTCACTTTTCCCAGAGAAAATGAAAGAAAGAATATAATATTTTTGTCCATTAGTATAAATGTGAAGAAGAAAAAGAATCAAAGAAATAATCTAAAATACACGTTTTTAATTGTTGGAAAAATCCTTATTCTGCTGCGTATTTACGTTCCTATTCGTCGAAGATCACGACGACGCGTGGTAAAAATAAAGAAGATAAGAATCGTGTTTACTTATCAACACTATATAAAATCAAGTTAAAGTTCTCTACATGTTATTACTACTTTTTTTTTTCATTTATATGAAGATTTGTTATGAATGAATAATGTCGAAAGAAACTAACAGCGGTAATGATATTAATCAACAGATCATCAATCCAAAGCTTACATCTCAAACAATATACTTCTATATTTTACGCAATACAACAGTAGATGAAAAATTTAAAATTAAAGCTTATTTTAACAATGATATTAAATATACGTTTAATCGAGCAGAAGTATTCGATGAAAAGAAAAATAATAGTCCTTATATTTATTGTTTTGAATTGGATTTAATTATTGATGAACAAGATCATTTATATATCCATTATCAAAATGATTTATTACCAATTGAGAATTATCGATTACGTCTATCACGTAAAATTCCTCAAACTGACAGAACATTTCGTGATTACAACGACGATACATTTCGATCTATCGATAATCCTCGTTCTACTAAACATTATTTTCTATTCAATGTTAATTTTGCTAAAAATTTTGTTGATAGTCCTCCCGGTAAGAATCTATTTCAAAAATTAAGAAAAACTGAATATATGTTGACAAAAAATGAAACTAAACTATTTTATAGGTGAAAATGTTCCTTTTTGGAGTCAATTATGTTTATATACATATTATATTCTTCATCATCAAATGTTTGATCATTTTAATGCGTTAATCGATCAATTTCAAAAAGTTGTTCAAGAAACTAATCGTTCATTAATACGTGAAGAATTTAATGATTTTTTTCAAAGTTGTATAACTCATTTATCTTATGCAATACCTCCTTCAACAAATCAACATATTGCTGAAAAAATTATTATTCGTATGACAGGACTTTTACCAATAACAAAAGTAAATTTTGATTTAAGCAGTCATTTTGTTGTAAATTTTACATTAGCATTAATTGATGATATAAAAGAACATTATGATAATCTATTTGCAACAGTTTCACTAAGTGATTGGCCTTTATTTCGTGATGGTCTAACACTATATCTCGCAATTGAATTACTATCTAAACCAAAAGATACTATAGAATTAGTTCATCAAATGAAAAATGAACAATATAAAAAAGATCTAGCTAATATATTATTAAAACGACTTGAATCATTAGGAAGACCAGTTTTAGGTTTAAATTGGACAAGTATATTTACAACTGTTGATTCAAATATTCTTACATTGAAACAACTTGAATTAACACGATCAATAAAAACATATGTAACGTCATTAGTACAAATTGTTGGAATGAATATTAGTGAAATGGAACTTAGTGATAAAATAATTCGTCATTTCGATCGTCTTATATATGAAGATTGTTTACCTGGTAAAATAACAAAAAAAAATATATATATTTTACTATTTAAAATTTATTATTTTCTTTTATTTTAGTTGATCTTGAAAGTATCATATTTTTAATTAAGTTTTTACAAATGGAATCCTTAGAAACTGAAGAAACATCAAAAAATATTTTAAAAACTGTTAATACAGCTATTGAATCAAGTATACAATTACGTACAAAAGTCAAACAATATTTATATGCATTAAAAATAACAAATGAACAATTTAAAGATATTCGTTTTATTATTTCATCTATAGAAACATCATTTATTTTATTTTTAGTTAATAAAAGAACTTTATTAATTCATTTAATGAATCATGCAAATGCATCATATTCATATGAATTTTTTAAACAATGGTTTTGTTCATTTTTATTATTTAATGATGAAATCAATGATCGTAATAACAAAACTTATCAAGATTTACTTGAAGATTGGTCTAATAAAATTTGTAAATCTTATGAAATAATGATAACAATAATGATGGATATTGATCATTTAATTAATGCATTTGAAAATGAACAATATCAATTAATTTTTATTCATCATATGGTGAATTTGTGTTTTCAACAAGGTAAAAAATTATTGTTTGTAACATTAATTGAAAATTATTAAGAAAGAAAAAAGAAATTTGACTAATACATTTTGCTCATTCTCCTGTTCTATACGAAACCTTTATCTCCTTTACTTATTCATTGTCATTATCGTTGTATTGAGCATAGAAGTTGTTATAACATGAATATTTCTTTTATCATAGAAATCGCAAACAGCATACAACTGATGTTATAGTCAGAAAAACGTTTGTGGAAAGAATTCACTTTCTTCCCTCTCCCAGCCATATATTTATAGGGTACAAAGATCCATCTAGTCAGCTGTTTGAATAGCGGTAAGGAGAGTTAACAAAGGAAGTTTTCCAACTGATAAATTGCTTTTGAGATGAGACTATGTACATCATATTGGCCTTAATGAGTTATGAATATTCTAAAAAAGAGTATAGGTCCTTAGTTTATTGTGCCCGAGATACTGCATTTTTATGTTTTTTTTTAGTACAGTACCATTGTAACCCTCAGATACACCAGGACAATGAAGTTTCGAATTTCGATTTGAAACTTGAAACAGAAGCAGGTCTGAACGAGAATAGGTTATCGCAAAATTTTTGTATCCTTTCATTATTCCTATTTTTAGATACGACTATAGTAGGAACAAATCTTTTACATCGCTCGTATACATCGACACCTTCGATGTTCTTATTTCAGGATAGAACCAAATCGAAAGAATTGAAACATTCACAATAAAATATTCCTGTTAAATTCTCTCTCTGTGTAATATTTCGAATCGAAATATGAAAAGCATTTTTTTTCTTAGCGTTCCTGAAGGACAGTACTGCTTAGATTTAAAAATACCGTCAAAATGCAGTTTCTTTTTAATGGTAGGCTAAGGATCTAAACTCTGTTAAGCTAATTCATAGCTAATCAGGACATTCATGATACACATAGTCTGGACTAAAATGGGACTCATCAGTGACGAACTATCCTTATGAGCCTCGTCTAGTACAGCATTACACACAACAAAAATTTTAACAAATGTAGCCAGAGGATCCAAGTAAATATCAACAGACAAAAGTCATGTGTTAACAGAAATTTGTTTTTTAGCTAAATCATATTCGATTCAAATGTACTTGATTGACTATGTTTATTATGTCGTTAATAAAGTGTATATTTTGTCTTCTTAAGACCGATTAACTCATAGCTATGAAAGTATCAGAAATGCAATACACATTGTCTGACTATATACGATTATGGGAATTTTCGATATGACGTTTTGGTCTAGATTCAAATTAGCCACAATGACTTCCATAAAAAGCCTTATTTCTTTAATCAGTTAGTATATTCTGTAATGTTAAGCTGAAAGACGTAATGCTTAGAATGTGAGTTTCCTGTACATTCACAATCGTAGCTACACTTCATATATCCAAATTTGGAACAACTTTATCCATGTCCACTCACCTACATTCATATCTAAGCACTTCGTCATTCTGCCTATGAGTACGTCTGAATGAAAATGCATACTGGTTAGCACTATGGAATGTAGCCACTAATTAAAGAAATAGGGTTGTTTATAGAGGTTAACGAGGTCAATTTAATTTCGGACCAAAATTCTGATCTGTCACTAAAGAAAACATAATAATTACATTCGAGAACTTACTGAAATTCTTTAAAAAGATTAGAGAAATATTTAAATAAAAAGATAATACTGTTTACTATGAAGAAAATTTCTATCATGAATTCTTTCTTTTTATATTTAGAATCTATTTATCATATTATATCTGATGGATTATTAAATCTCAATAATGAATTATTTATTGATCAATTTGAAAAGACGTTTGCATCAACCCAATTAAATATATCTCAAGATAAATTAAAACAATTATCTAATCGTGAAAATCCATTATATCATTTAATTAATATTGATAAACAAATTCAAGGTAAAAGTAAATTAATTAATGATTTAATTCAACTTACAGCAAATAAAATTCAATTTAATGTCGATGAAATTTTACGAGATACATTTGAAAGACCAACTCGTACAACATGTATCTATGCAATTTTATTTGAAGATTGTTTTAAAAGTTCAAAATTACGACAAATAATAATTGATCAATTACTTGCATTATGGAATACATGGGAAGAAAAAGGTTTTCGTGCAAGTCAAATATTAGGATGGAAAAAATTTTCTAATGAAGAACGTCAAATTGTTTATCGTATTTGGAATTATATTGGTGAAACAGCGAAAAAACAATATCAAATAGATGCATTAATTGATAGACAACGACGTGAAATGGATGAAAAAATTCAAATAAAAGAAAGAATTACAAAATGTTTAGACACTTATTGTCAAAATGCTTTTGATAAACAATTATATCTTGAACTTCTATCGGAAATGGAAACAAAATTACAGTCTGACATAGTTCGTTCAATAACAATTCCAAATCAAATTAAATTATTTTTACCACTTGTTGATCGTCTTAATTCATTAGAAAAATTAAATGCTTGGGAAACATTTTTAGCTCAAACTCGAAAACGTAAAAGATTTCCTTTTTTGTTTTTTTTTCAAATCAAAATAAATGAACACTAGTTTTTATTTTTTCAGGTAGTCAAAATAATTCACCTACAACTACAGATATACATCCATCTGATATTATTGATGGTGAATCATTGTTATCTGATAATAGTATGTATATAGTCGTTTTATATAAATTTATCGATTTTATAAAATATTTATTTTGCTTAAAATGAAAGAAACTGATAAAAACTGAAGTTTAAGATACCGGTATGTACATACCAGCTGCGAAATTCTCAAGCATGTTAAGAATTTCTCATAATAGGTTTTAAAGAAAGAATTGGTTTTTTATAACTTTCTGGCTGTTAATATCTATTGCAATACTTTAATAGTGTAGTATTCAATGTTCACCATACTAGAAAGGTTGTTAGCACGATTCCTATGCGATTAAAATGTGAAATAAAATGTAGCTGTTGTTGTTAATCACAGAGCTATTGTTTTACTCTATCTATTTCGAAACATATTTCTTCGTCATCCTTGTACTTAATCTTCTAGAAATGTAATAAGGACATAGTAACAAGACATTATTCATATACGGTCTATGATTGTCAATGTTTTATCCGGATTTTCCCTTCCGAAAGGACGACTTGAAACTTCCATAGGACCAATCTGATCCTCGATGAGACACCGCCCTTATGTTGGATAAAACATTGGTAATCGTATAACAGAAACGCTGTCATGATCTGTGGGAAGTGCAAATTTCTACTCTATATACGTCAACAACTTGTTTAGATCGGGTTTCAAAAAAGTCAGCCTAAACAAAACCGTAGATATTGATCGGTCTAGTTGAGATTAAGATTTTTGATACAATTCTCAAAATATGATATCAGTTCAAATGAAGTTTAAGGAAGTTAAAGTTTTTCTGTTCATGAGTTTGTATTGCAAGACTCTTTATATCAAAGCAAAATAACATAAAGGCAAAAAATGATTTTAATAAAGTTTCATTTTTATGGTTCCTTGTATAGATCAAACAATTAGATATAAGATCGTCTAGAAAGATTATTAGGAATTCATACAGTTGCATCATTATCTGACTCAATCCTATTATTTCGATCTTTGAATAGAAGTAGATTGCGTCGAAACTGATCGGAAAACTCCAGAAATCTATGAAACTTAGGTACAGTATTCCAGTCTGAAAACAACACGAAGCTTATCGTAAGTCACTAAGAAAATCTGGAAAGTTCTTCCGACCGAAATACCACATCCGAGTTTCATCGATTTCTGATATTTTTCTTTATGAACATGTTCGTATGTTTTCACCTCGATATCTACAATGTTTATTCTTTTGACATATTTTCTCAAAATCTAAGACTATTGCAGTACAAAAGCTTTACAGATATCATTTTTATTTTAGAACGTACAACAGAAGCAGATTCATCATTACATACTTCTCATAGTTCTATAAGTACTTCAATATTAACTGACTCAAATGAAGATATACCATTGGATCAACGGTCATGTGTTGAAATATTAACTGAATATATCGAAATTCTTGATATGTTTATTGATCGTTTAAAAACAATTTGTTCTGAATGGAGACTTTTACCTATATCTGAAATACTTAATTTATTTCCTGATATTCAATATGTAGATCATGATTTTGAAATTCTTAAGCCATTATTAAGATCTGATGCTACAGAAAAGATTAAATCAATATTAGATTATTGGAAAAATCGTGATAATATTAATCATATATGTCATGGTTATATTAATCTAATAAGTAATATAGAAAAATCTTCTGATAAGAATTGTGAATTATTTAAAAAAATTACTGAAATTAATTATCAAACACAAGGTTTACAATGTTTTATGCGTTATAAACATTTTTCAAGAGAATTTCTTCAACATCATTCCAAAGAATTCCTTGATCTTATTGCTCAATATAGTTTATCAAATGAATTAATTACATTTTTAAATCTTCTTGCATCAAGTGATGTTGACAATTTACTTCAAGCTGTTAATGATTGGGATGAAACATTAATAAATACCAAAACAGTATTAGATTTTGTAATGCTTAAAAGATTTTTTGTTCGATTTAATAATGAAATAAGTTTAATAAGAAACAATACATCTGTATTTAATATTGAACAAATTGAAATAGCTTTTCAAAGAGCATTTGATGACGAACAATTTAAAAATATATTTAATTGTTTTCAAGCATGTTCAGCATCATTAACAAGCATTAAACGTATACATTTAGAATTAACTGATAAAGAATTATCAAAACGAAAACGTATATCTGATTTAATGCAAAATATAAAATTTGGTTTTATTGAAGAAAACAATAAATTTGATATTAACGTAGAACCTCAATCAATGTGTTTTAATGATTTAAGTGAATTACGTGATCGAGCAAGACTAATTGAATATTCAACAAATAATAATAATAAATTTTCAATTGATTCTCAACATGATGTAAAAGAACTTCATTCATTTGTAACATTTGTTGAAATAGTTGAGAAAATTTTAAAAAACTTTTCATTATTAAATATAGCTGGTCATCCATCTATAATTAATTATCTTTTACCAAAAAAATCATTTACATGCATTAATACTGATTATCAAGAATTAGTTGAATTTAGTTTAATGCTTGATGATCTTCTTTCTGATTGGGATATATATCTATGTAAAATGTATGAAAAACATATTGATTTAACTTATTTTTCATATCAACAAATTTGGATTATTGAAGATTATTTATATAATCAAATACAACATTCAAAAACAAATCATGCTGGTTATCATTTATTACAATATATTGGTATAGAACCAGAAACAATTCATGCTGAATATTTACCAATAAAATCTGAAAATCCAACTGAACGTTTAGAAAATATTGGAAAAATTTTAACAGCACAACGAATAAATTCAAATTTAATAATTAAACAAGAAAATCGTATTATTAAAAAAGTTTATTTAGTTGAAACATCTGATGAAGGTATTTTACGAGCAATACTTTCATTATTTAAAAATCTTTATACATCAATGGCTGTTAATCATTTATTTTATTGTACAGAAGAAACTAGTTGGACAGAAATTCGTGCATTTACTTATCGTTGTTTTTATTCTCAAACATTACATCAATTAATTCGACCTGAATTATTATCAACATCAATTCAAGATTATTTCACACGTTTATTAAGACAATTAATTGAACATCATCCAGAACATTATTTTCGTCTTGCAATTATAACAAATGTATCAACGACACATTTACAATTAATAAATGGTTTAAGAACACTTCAAATTGTTCATACTGTTCATGATCAAGATATGTTAAATAAAAATGATTTAAAAGAAATTATTAAAGAACTTATTGATGAAAATTGTACATTAGTTACATCAAGAATAAATGGTTTAGGAAAAACTTATTTAATAAGAAATGAAATTGAAAAAAAACAGAAAATTTGTATTAAATTTCCTATTAGTGGAGATATGGATGTTGATGTTATTGCAGAACGTTTACGTGATTATGGAAATGAATTAACGTCATCAAAATCCGCTTTACATATTGATATTGGAGTTGTTAATAATACAAAACAACTTAATGAACTTCTTTATTGTCTTTTACTTTTTCGAAGTTTTCGTCTAAAACATGTAGCTGTTCATGTACCTATTGATGTACCAATTTATATTGAACTTGATTCATCTCCTTATTCAACGAATTTACAAGATAAAATTGTTCTATTTAAATTTATGAATTCAAAATATATTGATCATATAGACTGGAAGGATTTTGTAATCGATCACTCATCGACTATTCAATTAGTTGTTAATTATCTTCAAGCAATAAAAGATAAAACAATTCTAAAAAGTAATATAACTGAAGAAACATTAACTAATATCGATCGATCTACTTGTATTAATCTATTAAAAGAAACATTCTTACAAAAGAAAAATCCAGAATTTGTAACTTGGACACAATTATCAATATTTATATCTGTTTATTATAGTTTATTTTCTGGTTTTTCACGTTGTGGTTTTTTTCTTATTGATGCTATACCAAATCCACAATTACGTTTAGATATTCTTCAAACTTTACTACAATCATCAAATCAATTTACTTCATTATGTGTTGAAAATGTACGAAAAAATCAACGATCTGTTAATACAAATGAAGCTATTATTCCATTTAGTGAAGCTATTGTTCGTTGGGATAAAACTCAACCATTTACAGTAGTTTTTTCGGCAGCAGATAATCCAATATTTGTTTATAAAAATCCAACTGATGTTCCATCATCACTTGTTGAAGCATTTCAATTATATCATGAAATAACAACAGGAGAAAAGGATCAACAATTAAATAATTTTTTTCCTGATTATAGTAAATTTACACATAAAGATTTTTTTCTAAAACTTGCTTCATTATCAAAAAAATATTTTATTAAATCAATATGTATTAATTGTTACAGACAATATGATTATAATCAAACACAATGTATTGAATGTGAAACACATGGACTTTTAGTGCGTCCGATTTCTTCGAAAACTGCAGATATTGAAAGTTTTCAAGAATTTATTGCTAAAAAGCTTCAACTAGAATATGTTTTAACACCAGATAATTATATTAAAATGTTATTAATTTATTTACGTGTAGAAAGTGGTCTTCCTGTATTAATTATGGGTGAAACAGGTAATTAAAATAAATCATATGAAAAAATTCACAATGTTGCCAGATAGAACATTTAGAAGAATGAGTTTACCATTGAATAGATTCTGAATATCTTTTCGAGTTTTGAACATTCTTTTCAATAATAAGTAAATTTCGACGAAACTAGGTCTCAAAAAAAAACAAAACAAATGAAAGAAAGACTTTCGACCTAAATATTGTCTTCAACTTTATTCAAAATATTCGTATCGCCTTGTTTAAAATGATATCTTTGAATTGATCAATTCAGACTATTTATTATTCTTAGAAGATATCCGCGTCAAATATTGACTTTTCTTTATCTCTTCTTCTCCTGAGACGGGACTTGTGCAGTTTTGACTGATACGACACTAGACATCCGAGGTTTAAGTTTTCGACAACTTCAAGTTCAATGACTCGAAAGGACACAAATCAAACTATTAGTAATTAGTTCTTTTCATGCGAGTTGATCTATCAAAAATTTCTTGTGTATTTTATTCGATTGATTTTTAAGAGCTTCATGTTTGATCACGTAAATTGAAATGGGACTATCGCAGATATCTTGGAGAGGATTGAACTGAGTTTTCAGGAGCTCTTGCTGATATAAAAAGAACTGGATAGGCGATACTAACTCAGTTAGTCGACATAAAGATGTCACACATCTGTCAGTATTTTGAGAAAGAATTTAGTTGTTCAGTTGCACGGTCTCTTTTTTTTCTATTGAATAGTATTTCATTAAATCAACGTATTCAAAGAAGAAATGAAATAGGTACTCAGATTGAACACAGAATGGTCTCTGACAAGATCCCAATATCGGATCCTTCGTGATAAGTACATGTCAGACTAAAAAAAGAACAATACATACACATAGTACTCATTCATTTATAAATAAATGAACCATAGAATTTGTATGTGGAATCTTTCGAAAAAACTGCTAAATCTCACTTAACGTTTAAGTTTTGATAAAGTTCGAAACCAGCATCCAGCAGGTCATATGTGTTCGATATTCTTCTTTCAATCTGTTCAGTTTCGACGAACTTTTTTGTTCTTCGAACATCCTTTATAGGTAATCGTTTACTCTAAATTAAATGATAACGTCGAACTTTTTCTATTTTCTTTTCTGTCATATATTGACAACATCTTCTAATTTTAGGTTGTGGAAAAACTGCCTTAATACAATTTTTATGTAAAAAAATTCTTGATGATGAAATGGAAATATTTCGTATTCATGCTGGTGTTACAAGTGAACAAATAATAGATATGATTCATAAATTTTCTCGACGAGCACATGAATGTCTTCTACAAAATAAACGTTTATGGGTTTTTCTTGATGAATTTAATACTACATCAAGTATTGGTTTAATTAAAGAAATAACTTGTGAACGAACACTTCTTGGTGAACCATTACCAGATAATATGGTTTTATTAGGTGCTTGTAATCCTCAACGACGTAAAAAAAATAATAAAATTTTTGATAATCATATTGGTATCAAAAAAGATCTTTATGAAATGCAACGTTTACAACAAGCTTCAGGTATTTCACTATTATATACAGTTGTACCAATACCAGAAACTATGCTTGAATATGTTTGGGATTATGGTTATCTTGATGATGCTATAGAAAATAAATATATTCGAACAATGTTATATACATGTGAAAAATTAGACGAAAATACTGAATGGTTCAATCTTATTGTAATAATGCTTTCGAAATCACAAAAATTTTTTCGTGATCATGAAGATGTTAGTAGTGTATCATTACGTGATGTCGCACGTTTTTGTCGTCTTTATAATTGGTGTCGAAAATCAATCATTGAACGTGAAGGTGCTGAAAAATTTCTTAATAATGCATCTGTTCTTATTCGACGTTCAAGTTTAATAGCTCTTCTACTTTGTTATTATTTTCGTCTTAATTCACCAATCGATCGAAAAAATTATACGAATCTAATGGAAGAAAATCTTCGATCTCATTTAACTAATGTATCAAAAGTTGAAAATTTTTTAGTTAAATTTCTTGAAATTGAACAACAAAAATTAATTGAACGAATGAATTTACCAGTAGGTACAGCAAAAAATCATGCACTTATGGATAATATATTTGTTCTTCTTGTTTGTATTGTTAATCGTATACCTGTTATTATATGTGGTAAACCAGGTTGTAGTAAAACATCAGCTGTACAAATTGTTATAAGTAATTTAAAAGGAAAAAAATCATCGGATGAATATTTTCAAAAATTACCAGAATTAATTACGGTTTCATATCAAGGTTCACAAAATTGTACATCAGAAAGTATTATAAAAGTCTTTCAACGTGCTGATAAATATTTAGATGTTAAAAGAGATGCAGACATTTTACCAGTGATTGTTTTTGATGAAATTGGTTTAGCAGAATTATCACCACATAATCCATTAAAAGTTTTACATAGTAAACTTGAAGTTGAAACATGTCAATATGGTTTTGTTGGTCTATCAAATTGGCGTCTTGATGCATCAAAAATGAATCGTACACTTTATTTATCATGTCCTGATCCTGATGTAGCAGATTTAAAATTAACAGCTAAAATTATATCAAATTCCATGATTCCATCTGAAGGTCAAATATTTCGAATAGATCCATCAATTATAGCAACATTAGCAACTTCATATTATCAATTATATGAATTTTTAAAACTTCAAGAACAACAAAAATATGCAAATTATTTTGGTTTAAGAGATTTTTATTCATTAATAAAAGGTGTTGTTAATGATTTAATTAAAACAGAAAATAATGATGAACGATATAAATGTATTCGTCAACAATTAATTATTAATTTTGATGGTATTCTTGATGGTTCACAATTTATGTGGAATCGTTTTTGTGAACAAATACAAAGTGAACATTTAATTGAACAATATAAATCTCCTACATTTAAAGAATTACTTGATTTAAGATTAACATCACGTCAAGGACGTTATTTAATGTTAATTGCTGAAAATGAAAGTGTTATTGATTATGTTGAAAGATATATTATTGTTAAACATCAACCACCACCTGTACGAACATTAATTGGTAGTTGTTTTTCAGGTGATTTAATATCTGGTACAACTTATACTGAACAATATAATTATCGTGTACTTATGGATATAATACTTTATGCTGAAACAAATGTTACATTAATTATGCGTCGTATGGGACATTTATATGATAATTTATATGATTTATTTAATCAAAATTTTGCAATATCAGGAAAGAAAAAATATTGTCGAATTGCACTTGGTGCTTTATATCATCCACGTTGTCTTGTTAATGATGATTTTTATTGTGTTGTTTTTGTACGAAAAGAAGATTTAGCAAAATGTGATCCACCATTTCTTAATCGTTTTGAAAAACATATTATCGATATGAAATCATTGGTTCATCAACGTCATTCGTTAATTACAGACAATTTACTTACTGAACTTATTGCTTTACTTCCAAGAAATATTAACAAATATTTTCCACTTTTACAACATTTATTTGTTGATTATAGTAATGACTATATATGTAATTTAGTCATTGATGCATTTGATAATTTAAAAATTTCAGTTGATGATGATAATAATACAGTTGACGTTATTAATTATTGTAAAAATAAATTAATTGGAACTAGTTCATTTGATTTACTATTAATACTTGCATTACAATCTAATCAATGTCATCCTCTTATAGATCAATATTATGATATACATACAAATTTATCATTTCAAACAATTATTAAACAAACATTAAACGAAAAAGTCTTACCTAATCAAGTTATTTATACATATACACAAATTTATCATATAATTGATTATAATACTGATGAAATTGAAGAAGTTAAATTAAGTATGTTTAAAAGTGAACTTGAATTAACAAATAAAATAAAACAACATTATCAAACAAAAGATAATTATCGTTTATTAATTATTCGTGTTGATTATCATCAAGAACATGAACATATTTTATTATTAAAACATATTTTACTTAATTCAAAAATTCCATCAACAAATCGAAGTGTTTGGTTAATATTTCATCTTCAACGTAATATGCTTAATCAAACAACAAATGAAGTTTTATTTAATGGTTGGTCAACAATAATGATCAATGATTTAAATGAACATAAATTAATACCAAAAAACATTTTACTTGATCCATCATATCTTAATTTAGTTACTCATCCAAATTTTGTCTTATCTGAATCTATGTTTGATGAAATAATGGATCGATGTTTAACAAAATTTCGTTATACAGTTTCACAAAAAGATCTCATAACACAAATAAATATTCGACGTAATCAAATTACTGAATATTTAACTATAACTGTTAAATCTCAATCATTACGTTTAATAATTCAAGAAAATTTATTAAATCTAGTTAAAAATATAAAACTTAATCGATTTTTTGATTGGCGTCAAGATTTATTAACAAATGGTATATTAATTGGAACATGTCGTTCATTTAATGATGCATTACAATCAACTATTTCAATATATTATGAAAATTATCTTTTATTATTATTTTATCATTTTGAAAAATATTCATTAATTGATTCATTTTTATTTATGAGTAAAAATAATAATAATGATTTATTAAATAAAATTTGGTTTGATTGTTTAATATCAACAATGAAAAATATTGATATAACAATAATGAATGTTGATGTTATTGAAATGCCATTAATATTTAATTTATATTTACCATGTGCAATTATTGAATATGATATTATTCGTTCAATACGTGAAATAATTATACAACGTCGTGATGATAATATTAATGATGAAGATTTAATGAATATTGCTATTAAACAATTACGTACAAAGAGTGTATATAATGCAAATATTGATATTATTTTTAATGATAATGATTTATTTCGATATTATTATAGTGATCAATTAATACTTGCACAAGATGAAGCAAAAATTTATCAATTATCTTCATTATTTATTAAATGTTTACTTATGACAAATCAAACAAGATCTATTATTGATCGATTAAAACATTTACTTATTGATTATAATGAATTATTTGAAATTTTAAGATTATTTGAAATAAGTAAAAAATTAATTGATGAAAATGATTTTATCAATGAAATATTTAATCGACAATTAATTACTTTAGATGAAACAGATATAAAAATAAGTAAAAATGAAAGTTTATTTTATAATCTTATTTTAACAGATGAACATTTTTGTTTAATTTCACCAAAATCTGAAATATCTAATGAACATATATTTCAATGTGAAGGTGATCCATTTATTGAAGTTAGTTTAATGAATTTAATTGAACTTCTTATTTCTCCATCTATTATTGATCGTGTTGATAATATTGAACAATTAACAACAACATATAGTCTTGTTGCTCAAGGTATACTTGGTTTAACACATTATTCAGTAAATAATCTTGAAAAATTACGTTCATTTATTAGTCTTATTCGATGTATAACAACTTTAATATCAAGTAATAAAGCATTAGATGTTTTTAAACAAGCATGTCGTTATGGTGGTTTTGATGCAACATTTAAAACATGTGATGATATACATAGATTTATTGAGCTTTTACAACGAATTATTAGTACAAATGAACCAAATATCAATGAAACAGTTGTACAACGAACATTACTTAAACTTGAAAGTGAATTTTTAAAAAATTGGCTTGTTGATCATACTGATGAATATTTAGATATAATTACATTAATGAGTAAATCTAATAATAATCTTTGGCAATATTCAGCAAAAATTTTTACTTATATTGATCGAAAACTTCAATTATTACTCATGATTCAAGATTTTAATGGACAATTACCATCGATTGAAAATTTTGAAAAATTTGATGAAGATTTATGTGAACTAATTAATAAATATCAACAATTCGATGAACATTTACAAAAATTAAATGATGTATCACGAAAAATTGAACATATTATGATAACTCGTATTCATATGCATCTTATATTAAGTGTTAATAATAAAGAAACTATAGAAAATATACTTCAAGAACATTTTAATCAATTTGAAGAAAATATACAAATAATACAAAATAGAAAAAAACATTATGGTTTAACATTAATTAGTTTAATTTCTTGGTTAAAATATTATGCACAACTATATGCTTTTGTTCTTGTTAATGATAGTCATCATGCCATATTAGAAGATATTGATAAATTACTAACACGTGATGATTTTCTATTTTGTTCAACTATTAAATTATTTATTATAAAACAATTATGTCAAATGTCAAGTATTACACTTGATGATTTACGTGATATTATAGTTAATCGAAATGTTACATGGATTCGACCAATGATTACTTTACCAACTGGTCAAAAAACAAAAGAAATTCGACGTATTCTTACTTTACCAACACCTTTATTTGAATGTTATGATGAATTTCTTCGAGTTGATCGTATTCTAACACATACTACGAATATTAATGAAATACGACAATTAATTAATCAATGTCAAACAAAACAAGAAACATTCTATTGTTTTATTATTTGGTTTATTCATTATTATGCACGTTTTTATATAAATGATGATATATCATTAAAAAATAATTATTATCAACAATTAATTGAAAAAGATCTTAGTAAAGATATAATTGAATGTTTTGATCTTCTTGGTTACAAATTACTTGTTTTCTTATGTACAAATTTTAATAATTCAACTTATTTTTGTTTAAATTCAAAAATGACAATTGATGAACTTCATCAACGTTTAATTGCATTAAATATTATTGCATTATTATTATCATTTAAAACTTTACGATATACATCTTATTTAAGTAGTCTTCTATTTGATGGAAATCTTAAAATGCCACAAAATTATTCAACTCATCTACAAACATCAGTTTGTTTACCTGGTCTTATATCAAGTAATCCAATTATTACACAAATGATTGATGTACGTACAACTGTTAAAGAACGTTTAGATCGAGGTCAAATATATGAACAAGGAAAATTTGTTTTTCAATGTTCAAAAGATTGTTTTTATATGTTTTATTTTTTTAATTGTGGTATACCTGTTGATCGTAGTAAATGTCCATTATGTAATAAAGATATTGGTGCAGCACAATATGGTGTTCTTATTGAACGTAATCCACCACAAATTCGAATGACTATTGATGAAGGTTTTCAATTTATTAATAATTATATTGAACAATATAATAAAAAACCAAGATATGGTTATCATAATCAAACACCAGCTAAACATAGTAATCAACATGAAAAATCTGATCATTTAAATCGATCAATTTCATATCGTTTTATGCATATGATAACACATGTAACTTTATTATTTCTTAATGAATTATCTCTATTACCAGGTTTGGATCTTAAAAATCCTTTACATTTTAAAGAACATTTTGAAAAAGATTATCAATTACTTAGTCAACAATTAAATAATAATGATCAATGTTATATATGGTTATATAAAATAATTAATCATATGATTAATAAAGATTTTATTATAAAAGGTTTTATGAATACAAATGAAAAAGTTATACAAATAGAAAAACTTCTTGAAGAAAAACTTCTATTTAATCATATTGAATCTATTGCAAATGAAATTAATCAATATAAAATTTCATATAATGAATATATTGGACAACAAAATCAAGAAATAACATTTGAAGATTTTTTTGATGAAATTTCTCAAGATGAAAATAAATATCCTTTATTAAATTTTTTTAATGTTACAAATATTTATACATCAAATCCAATAGATGAATTTCGTATAAGACTTCAAACAATTCCATATGGAGATAAACTATATCCAATAACAACATTTTTAATGAAACGTCTTTCAGATTATACTAATATTCAATATCTTTATCCAATTGTTGTATTTACAAATTATCTTATTGAAAAATTTAATCATCGTATTAAACGTAATGATGCATCAGAAACAACAATATCATATTATTTAACACATGGTTCAGATTGTGAAATAATATCTCAACTTTATAATAACTTTATTCAAGCTTGGTATAAACTTAATTTCAATGAATTACAATATGGTTGTCAACCAACTAAATTTGAATTAACATTATTAAAAGAAGATTTTGCAACAAATACAAAAATTGCTATGGTTTTATTAAATACAACTAAAGATGAAAGTAGTATTTTATTAGCTGCATGTTTACGAACAATAGGTCAATTACAAAATGATATTGTTCATTTTTTTCATAATAAAATAGTTAATGATGCTAATAATAATCGTTATCATCAAAATGCTATACCAATACAATCAATTCGACCAGAACATATACTTCGTCTTGATGCAGATGTTATTAGTACGAAATTAATAACTGATGGTTTTACTATTAATTATCAATATGGTAAAAGTCGAGATATTATTTATGATTATGAAGAAATTGAAATAACTTTAAGAAATATGATTAGTTGTTTACCATTAATTGATACAGAAAAATTACGTTTTCTTAATTATCAATTTGAACTTTATAGTGAAAATACATCATTAATAAATGATGTTCGAACACGTATTAAACAAGAGCCATTAAAACAAAATGAAAAAGTCAAATTAAAAAATTTAATAAATAGTATGCAAAATGATGATATTCTTCATTATCTTGGTTCACTTGATTATGTATTTACTTATTTACGTAATATTGATGATGAAACAACAAATGATTCATTAACAATTCAATCATTTGCTGAAAATTATATACGTTCAAGTGTTTGTCTTAATGATAATGTTCTTCAGCGTCCACCATTTGCAACAATTAATCTTAAATATATAATTGATCTATATGAATTAATAGAAGAAATTGCATTTGATAAAATTTTACGTCATTATATAAAACAAAATTTAACTGAAGAATCATTTGCTATTGAACAACGACAAACTTTAATTAGGAAATTTAGTGATATGACATTTAAAAAAGAAACAATTGCACCTTCACTTAAAAATATCGATTCATGGATTGGTATACTTAAACGTTTAATGGTACGTGTTTTATCAAATATTAATGTTAGTCTTGATGTACCTATACAAATTTATCTTGAACGAACTGATTTATGGACAGGAAATATAATTGAATCTGATATACAAACATTTGAAGTTAATGATGAAATACTTCTACAACATACTTATATACTTTTAAAAGGATTAGAATATGAACGAGATAAATTATTATTAAAAAATATTAAACCAATAGATATTGAAGAACAATCAACATTACAAAAACAAAATGTATTACAAAATACCGATACACAATTATTAAAAGTAAAAACTTGGCATAATGATAGTATTAGTAATGCTAGTATGATGTCAAGAGTTATTAAAAGTGATAAAACTACAGTAAAAAAAATGCGTGTTTAATCAATAAAAAAGAAAAAAAAAAAAAAAGAAAAATAATTCTCTCCTATAATTTCCATTGTCAAACTTTATCAATACATTTGTTTTGTTATTTTTATTATTTCAAGAATAAACAAGGATAAAAAAATTTTTTTTCAATAGGTTTTAATAATTAATTACACATAACACACTATATAAACCTATGATGATGAAAAAAGAAATACAACCATAACGATTGAAATTACACCAGCAACAAGTACATGTATAGCAAGAAGAACATTTTTTGATTTTCTTGCTGGTGAATTTTCTTCTTGATTAACAAAATGAGTTAATGTAGTTGTTGAAGATTTTGGACTTTCTACAATTTCTCCAATTGTTGTATTCGATGTATTTATATTCGAATAACCTGATTCATTAAGTTTCTTTCGAGAATGATATTGCATAATTTCGAAAATAATAAATATTAATCCAATCCAAACAATCCATATGATCATAAGAATTCGAGCTTTTGTATCTTTCAATACTTTAAAATAAGTAGCTAGAAATATTGTTGCCATCGAAAGAATGAATGCTGAAAAACCAATAACTGCATGAATAAAATTAAAAATAAATCGAAATCGACTATCCGGTTCACAACGAAATAATGCAATAAAAGGTTGAAAGAAAGAGAAACTTATTACAATAACACCTGTTATTGAATGTGCATAGTATCGCGTTGGACCTTTATCTACCCATGCACCTTGAAGATAGACCAAAATGAATAAAAATCCAACCACGGTAAGAGTTGCAGCAGTACTCATAAGAAATCGATGAGCAGCAAACCATGCAGCTTTACCACAAATGAAAGTATTTGCCCAAGAGTTTTTGAAATAACGTGCAATAAGTGCACCTGTTGAAGCAATTAATATCCATGTAAAGATCATAATAGTTCCATGAACTCGTACAAATGTAAGTGATTCTCCATCATCAGTACTATTTATTCTATAAAGAATAGTTTCATTTTGATTTAATTGAACATGATCAGATAGAGCTGTATGTGAGTCTTCAAAATGTTTGAGTGGCTCATCTAAAATATACATAGAAACATCATTAAAAAAAAGATCGAATTTAAAAAGAAATTAATAATAATGTACTTATGTCATATCAAAAATAATGACAGTAACACTATAAATTAATGGTATAGGATGCAGAATTATTCACAGTAAATTTTTCATAATACAGTAAAAGAAAAAGAATTCAAAGAAAAACATTAAAATTTTTTATGTATGGTATTTAATATGACTTTAATTTATGAACTCTCGCGTTAATCAATTAGTTCAATGTACTTAAAATCTATAATATTTCATTGTTCTTCAACTAGTATCGTAATGTTAGAATATCGATATAAATTGTTTGCCTCTGATTTCTATGGAAATAGAAAAATTTCATATTGCACTTTATTTTGTCTCCGGTAACTAGACTCTATCTTACAAAACACGTGAAAAATTATATGAACGACTTCTTGAAGAACAAGAAGACATTAAAGACGACATACGATTCGATAAATCTGTAATCGAACACCATCCGAAAATATCAAACAGATCCATTGCTGTATTACTGTCGATCCTTATATTACAATTGGTGAATTGCAAGAACTAATTGATTTAAGGCATGGCGGCATCTGACAAATCATTTCTGATCATCATAAACTTGAAAAAATTACTACTTGTTGTTTATCGAAACAGTCAACCTTGAGAATGGTCATGAAAGATATAGTTTGACTTACACGTCTGGTAAGTTGTTCATTGTCTTCAAGTTATTCTCATCTTTCACAACACCATTCATATCATTTTTCAAGTGTTCTGAGAGGTAGAATTTTGTCGCCAAAAACAAAATATAATGTAGCACAAGCTTTAATGTAGAAATAAAGGTTTTCCTTAGTCCTCTATATCAAAGGTAAATAGCTTTGATCAAAATTCTAATATTATCCTACCAGATGAAGAAGATTAAAAGAACATTGTTTGAAATCTCAAGTTATAGAAAGAAAATTTCCTTGAGTCTTCTATGTGGTATTATAGTTCTACTATTATTACTTTTGATATGTCTCAAGACTCACTGATCCTAAACTTCTATCATTAAGAAAGTTAGATTTAGTATTTGAGTGTTTTTCGAAATGAAAAGCTTATAAAATAATTTTTCATTCTTTAAAAACAAATGTTTAATTTTCAAAAGATGACTTACTACTGCTATTCAACAATCCAACAGCAAATAATGGATGATAGCTCGTTGACTGAGAAAGTGGTCTAACAGTTTCCAGTTGTCGAAGTGTTTCCATAGTAAAATTTGACAAAGTGAACTGACAAATCATAACACCATCATTGAACTGTTGTTGACCAGGTGTTAATGTACCACCTTGTTCTGACCCAGCAGGTTGAGGATGTTCATGCTTATGAGGATTTACATATCGATTTATAACAATTGTATTATTAGCAAGTCGTTTACACATAAATACATGAGCTTCACCCTACGAAAGAAAATTTCTTTAACATATATGTATTTAAAATATTATTTTCTACGGTTAACATCGAAAAATGAAATAAAACTTGTAAAAGTCAAAATACTTTGTATTATTTCATTTTTTTAAATTAGATTTGCTCAATAATAACCAATATTTGGAAAAGCTCATAATTAATAATTATTTTCTAATAGAAAGTTAATTACAAAAATCTACAAATAAGTTATGAAAATTATTTTTTTTAATATTTACCATAGCTTCTTCTAAGTTAAGACCTAAAGCAGCCCACATTCCTGCTTGTAGATGGTTAACAATCATCTGAACACTTGTAACATTGTTTTCATTATTATATGTCCATGTTACATTGATGGAAACATCAGCAGCAGGTGAAGGAGTTCGTGTTGTGTTAGCGAAACCTGATGTAGTTGTTAATTGTGTACTACTAATTGTTGTGGTATTAGTTTGTGTAGTAGTAGGAGAAATAGTTGTGGTTGTAGTATTTGTGTCAAGATGTGTTCCCTGAATAAATGATGAATAATTAATTATCTATAGAAATAAATTATGATCATTTTATATGTATATCGATGTAAAAATAACGAATTCGGATATGGATTTAAATAAAACTGATCTTTTTTTTTTGTTTTTACTTGAGTTTTGAAATAAAAATATTCAATACTAAATGATTAATGTTATCATTAATATTATCTTTTCTACTGGCAAAACATAGGAGGGTATTTTCCAGTTTCATCATCAGAATATTTTTCTGAATAATTTTAGAATTTAACTAAAGAAATCTTGCCTCGAAGAGAAACAAATAAACTAAACAGTAATAATACTATTCGACATAATTAGATGCATAATCCTAATAAGATTACTGAAACATTACAATAATATTTTGTTATCGCTATCTTATGAACTATTGAATTATGTTCTAATTTCTATTATTACATTTACTTTTTGTAATATAATAGGTTATATTTGTTTTTCTTTCATCAAATACTGTGAAATAAAGAGTGTCGATGAAACGAAACCAAACTACTCACAGCAGTGACAAGGAATTACTCAATTGAGTCAAAAGACCATAAACTTCAGTTCTTTTGTCTGATAGGAAACTTCGGTGAGATTTATTTTCTATGTTGAAAGAACCTTCCCCAAGTCGTGAAATACGGGTCGGTTCCCACAGGAAAACACAGGAAATCGATGGAACATGGAAGCAGTATTCCGGTGAACGGATCCTGTGACCGGATTTATCCGGTTACGGACGGAACCGAATAGGAACTTGAAAAAACCGGCAGCCGAATACTGTCATCGGATTCCTGCGTCGAATTTCTAGCATTTTCCCGCGGGTTCCGACCGGAAACGATGTGTTTCATGTGGGTTTTCGCCGGAAATTCACGGAATACTGCTTCAGGAATCATTGACCTGGGTCTTTAAAGAAAAAATCTATGTTGACTTTCTAGTTTCTTCATATGAAGATCAATTAAGTCCTTGCGATCAGAGTTCAACAAGTTTTTTTTGTAGTCAAATAATAAGACTAAAATATTCAACTTCAGGTACTTTTTACTTAGTAGCAAAAATTTTTGCAACTACTGTAAGAGTTCATAAATTTTCTGATAGCGGTATCTAGTATATAAAACGTTGAAAAAATTTTCATGAGCAAACAACTATTAGGATATTTTCTTCAGAAAAGATTTCAAATTGTATTTTTCTATTTGCTCAATAAATACTTACTCGTGGAGTTAAGATAATATTATAACAATCAATATAAATTGTCTTGTCATTTTCAATAATTACTGCTCTAAATAAAAATAGATGTAGATATTTGATTTCATTGAACAAAAGATTTTATACTTGATTATAATATCGCCTGAAACTTTTGATGAAGGATACCAAACTGCTTCGATACTCGTCTTTTCTACTTTTGAATTATCCATTAAACCATTACATGAAACACTTTCAATTAATGAATCTGTCGTTTTCCAACTTCCAATATTAATATTTTCAGTATCCTGAGCAAATAAATAAATACCAATGAATTTTTTATCTGGTATAATACTTCGAATCGTAACTATATGTAACAACAAAAAGTACATGTTAAATATTCATTATTTGAATATGAATTATACGAACTCACCATGAATAGGTTCATCAATTGTATAAGTAGATGTTGAAGATTGAATGATAAAATCAGACGAACAAGTTGTAGGATTCACATTATATTGATCAAGTATTATTTGATCACATGTATTCGGAAATCTTCCATCTGAGAGATTTATTCCCTCATGAAACAATGAACATATTATAAGCGAGATTAAAATTACAATTTTCATCTAAAAAAACAAAAAGAATATTTCAATATGATTCTTATCAGATTCAAGAATAAAGTAAAAAAAAATACTATTGTATTTTACATATTTTTTTCTTCATATCAGTCATACATGAGGAATGTCTATTTATCATTTGCATTGTACATTCAAAATTTCTTAAAAATTTTCTTAATTATTGATAACTACAGTCTTCATGAATAAATAAAAAAAAAAGACATGAAAAATATGTGAACAAAATATTAAGAAGTCGACGTTATTTAAAATAGATAAGAAAGACTGCATAGGTTGCCGTTTTTCTTTGATAATACACTGTAACAGACCTACCTTTTGTGATATATTTATATATGACATTAACTAAATATATAGGTGAGCGAAATTTGTAATCTTTTATCATTATTTTAAGTCATTGATGATGATGCGATTTTTTTTTCTACTGATAATAAAATGATAATTTTTGAATTGTTTGGCATTGCACAACGAAATTTCGTATTTTAAAATCATGATAATGCATTTTATTAAAGAACTTGACAAGAACAAGTTCGATTGCAATGAGTATTCATCTTCAATAGACCAAACTTATTGTAAGAGCAGAAGTTATACGATAAAAACATGTTTTTGGATCTTTGTAAATGACACGAAGTTTGTCTAGGCTTTTATTCTAGGTCATGATAAAGTATTTCTTAATTGATATAAATTTATTAAATTTATTACTAAAATATTATTGTGAAACGTTATTTAATGAAATTTTCTTTTCAAATTTTCAAATTTATATTTTTAATCTTCTATTCTCCATTGGTCATTAGAATAACCATTGGTAAGGAAATTGTGAAGGACAAAGAAAGAAGTTTATAATGTTCTCCTAAAATTTTATAAGGTATACACAAGTGAAAAACCATAAAATTATCTTATTTGATTTGAAAGAATAAAATATGATAAGTTTCTTCATATTTTTATGCTCTCTGATGAAATCATTATGTTGGTAAAAAATGAAAATCATTGCAAGACTATGTTCTTTACAGAATATTTCTATGATGTTAGTAGAAATATAAAATGGTTCAAGAAAATTAAAAATTTATTATTTTTGTTTAATCGAACATTTGTTTACATTTCGTTTTTTACTATAGAGACTATCATTTGTTCTACAATGGTTGATGGCTCTTACGATATCACCAATCAAATATAGGCAAATGTAAAAGATGAATGCCATTTTTTTTCAATCGTAGAAGATCAAGCAAAAAATTTTCATTTAAAATATTGTGAAAAGTAAATTTGTATTAAATGAAAACTTATAAGACAGATAAATTCTTAATCTAACTTATTTTCGTTGTTAAATATTCGAAATTGTATTAATCAAATTCAATGATAATAGGTAATAAATTGAAATGATAATCAAAGATAAAGTTTTCAAATGTTTCAATAACATTAAAAATAAATATCAAGTCAAATAATCATCTTAAATCCTATGATTCTGTTTGACTACAATGTAAAATTTGTTATTCATAATATTTTCTTATTTTTTCGAAATCTACAATGTACTAACAAAATATATGATCTATTGCACATTATCATTTTCATAGAACATCATGTCAAGATTTTTATTAAGGAAACAAGTATTATGTGAAAAGCGTCTATTTAAAATGTCATACATTATCATCCAGCGGATGATAGACAAAGCATATATTTTGAACGACTTAGTTCTTTTTTCTCTTTGGCATAAAAATACATTTGAATAAAGTTCCATTGTGAGAAAAAAAAGCATTATATTTATTTAATCAGTACTTGTAATATTTAATAGATGATAATTCGGTTTTTTTGGAACATTTTTAAGTAAAGGTGCTAAAATTAATGTTCCTACAGTTAACATAAATGTTAATAAAATATATAGAAGAAAAAGACAACGATCAATAACTAATGCAACATTTTGCCAATCTAGTATAATAGCATCTTCTTCGTTTGTTTCAGTTGGACATAGAATCAAACGATTAAGTTCAGAAAGCAGACGTTTACATTCATTTAATGGTTGTGGTGCTGCTCGAACATTTGGTATTGATGATGACTGTGTATTTAAATTAGTTTCATTTGTTGTTGTGAATCGAGGTCTATTCGATGATGATAATGAAGATGATTGTTGTTGACTATTTGATGAAACATCAGGTTCTTTTAAAAAAATAGCATTATAAACTGTTGTTGAACGACGCTGATTTATTAATGTAGAATGTCGTGCAGCTTTTTGATTATTTACTTTTGTTCCACGATGTAAGTGAACATGTAACCATGATGCTAGATGTATAAATAATATACGACGTAATCGAGGTGAAATTGGTTTTAAAGCTGAACCATATAAATGAACATTAAGTAAAACAACAGCTAATAAAACTGATAAACTTGTAAAACTCATAACTAATGTAAAATAGATACCTTTCAAAAGAAAATTTATTTCATAAGATTTTTCTTTTAAATTTTATTTTATATAAAATTCATTTACCAATTAAAGGAATAAATTCACTTGTTGCTGGCATTGATTCAGCAATTAATAACATAAATACTGAAAAAGCAAGTAGAACTGTTAAACCTAATGAAACTTTTTCACCCGATTCTACTGGTAAATAAAATGTTAAACATGTTAATATTGAAAGCATTATACAAGGTATCATTACATTATATATATAATATAATGTTCGACGTCGTATATGAAAATAAAATTTCAAATCATAAAATGATTCATCACAACATGGATATGTTAATTTTGATAGAATAGTCCATGATGATAATAGTTTCCATTCACCTTTAATTTATATAGAAAAACAAAATTATCAAAAGAAAATGATTTACCATTATCTACATAATTTGCAGTATCAACAGTTTCTGAACGATTTGTTAAAAGGATTTGAGTAGAATCATATGTCCATGAACCGAATTTTAAAAAACATAACTGATCATCGAAGGGAAACCTTTTTTTTGAAAGAAAACCAAAAAATAATGAAAATCTTTTATTTCTAATAAAACTTGTTGATTTACCAAGTTATATCAATTTTACAAGTCGATCGAAATTTAACAATAGGTGGCCAAAAGACATTACCATTAAAATCAATCATTGCTAATGCTTGCATATATCCTTGTGTATAGTCATCAGCAGAATTATATAATACAATATCAGGTAACCAAATGTGCCGACATGGAATACGTATTTTTTTCAAACCACCAAACTCGTCTGGATTCCATTTCAAAAATTGATCCTTCCATTCCTTTTATAATCATATTATCAAGATTATTATGGAAACATTCATGATTTTTGTTCATTCAGAGTTCTTTATTTTATAATCGGATAATTAACCGAGATTTGATCATGTTTATAAATTAATCAGAATGATCCATTCTTATTTTCTTATCACGAAAGACTTATTTTTTGGTTCGTTTTACTTTATTGAATTTAGAAACTAATTTAGTGATCAGATGATTTCTAATACATCTATGTAGTTATAATCTTAGGCGAATTTTTAGAATATTTGTCAGCTATAAGTACATCTGACCTACGAACATATGTTCGATCAGATTTAAATGAAGTCATGCTTCATTGAAAAAAAAGCCGATTGCATAGTTTTCTAAAAAGAATTCGTGTTTTTAGATTATTGCTACAGAGATATCGCACTTTAAAGTTACTTTTTTAAAATGAATATTATGTTAGCAGAAAAACTGGTTTTCGAATTTCGATTTGAAACTTTGCATAGAAACAAATCTTGACGAGAATAGTTTCTTGTGAGAGTTTCAACTCTTGTTGTTGTTCTTATCCTAAAATAAGAACATCAAATCTGTCGATTTATATGAGAAGTGTAAACGATGCACTATTACTATAATTGTGTCTCAGGATAGGCACAACGAAAAGATCTGAAAACTTTCACAAGATATTATTCTAGTTGAAGCCTATCTCTATAGAAAATTTTCAAGCTGAAATTTAAAAATCAGTTTTTCCATTACCAATACATTCATGTAAAAACTACTCTAAAAGTACAGTATCTTCACAGCAATATACTAAAGACATGAACTCTTTTCAGGATCTCCATTGCTCATTTTGGTCTATATAAAGCATATAGTTTCAACTAGAGATGGACGAACCGGACTCAAAAATCAAAACTTAACTAGGAATTACAAGTAAAAAATTTGCTGGAATTGGAAATCAAGTTCATGGCAAGAATATTCTATGCTTTTAAGAATATTATCTTATAAATCATATGTATCAGAACATAGTTAAAAAAGGATGGACTAAAAAAGCAATAGATATGATACAAATCAATTCTGAGACAGATTTCTGTAGACCAGGCCGGAAACAAAAAAGTTTAGTCTCGCACATCTCTAATCTCGATTGAAAAATGTTTCATCAGTTAAAAGACTTCTCTCATAGGAAATTTGCCACTTTTCTTAACTAGAAAACAACATAATTTTAATATTCAAAACAAACCTTACCTGATCAAGCCAGATATTAGTTGTCAGTATTTGATTACGTTCATCCTAAATATAAAAAAATATAAACGATTGAGATTATATTTTTATTGAATGACTTACAATATCCATAATTTGTGTTAATGTTATACCAAGTTTAACAACTACTGCATCTGATGATTTTCGAATTGGTCTTACAGCTTTTTCATAACCAGTCATAAGTGTATAAAAAAGACGTTGTTCATCAGGCATATTAGCAGTATTATTAATTGTACTGTATATAGTTAATGGTAATGGACTTGCCATTGTTTCAACAAATGCATGACATTTTCGACAACATGTCAATAAATAAAAAATACAAACAATTATTAAATTTAACATCGATAGACTATAATATCCATTAAAAATCATCTTTCTTGCATATTTTAAATCGAATAATTGACAAATATTTTTCTTTCCAATATCGATCATATGATTTTACATAAATGAATTATTGTTATTCGATGACATAAATAAAAATCAACTTAAGATATAAAGATGATCCATATGTTATGGTTTAGTAATGA